AAAAAAAAAAACTATGAACAAATTCCTATGCACACTGCACATATCTTATTTTGAAGTAAAAAAACAAAATGGGAACAAATACAATATTAGTATTTGCATGTGGCCCGCGGGCCGTAGTTTGAGGACCCCTGGTCTAAGATATAGGAGTCAGGGCTGAGCCTGGAAACCTTCACTCTGTGGACCAAGACAGCAGCCATAAAGTGGTGTCCATGCCAGAGCAGCAGGCAGCGCTGAGCCAGCATCCCTGGGAAGGCCAGCAGCCTCTGCTTCACCATCTCAGTCCAGGCACCCAGTGGGGGCAGCTCTAAGTCCCTGGAGACTGCCCGGTGGCCACCCCTCTTAGGGGTCCTCCCACTCCCCTTCCACCATGGCCCCATGTTTTCTCGCCAGCCACAACACCCACTGCTTGAGACAGAGCTCAGAGCATCTTGGGTTAAGCTTAATAAGGGGCCACCAGACTCCACACTCAGGATGTACTCTCTTAGTGGCTCTGGGGTAAGAGCTACACAATGAAATGCGCTGGAGATCTGCCTCAGCCTAAGAAAACAGCACCACATCTGAACCATTCCTTTACTAGAATACTCCTCAGTGAGGCAACCTTCAAAGTAAACCTAAGTGACACACACACACACAGAGGAGTCAAGTAGAGCCAGCAAGGAATAAATATGCCAACATGCTGTAGAGATGTCACCAGACACACATCCTCATTCACTCAACGCTGGCTGAGCATCTGCTCTGTGCCAGGCTCTATGCCAGGCAGTAAAGGGCAGGGACCAAAGGCCCAGACAACAGGTACAGAGAGAGCTCTGGGGAGGGAGAGGGCCCCGGAGGGCCAGGGTGGGCAGGGAAGGCTTGGTGGAGCCAAATTGATATTACACTGTCCACTAATGTTAAAGTTTCAGCTATTTATGCCTCAATATGCTCTCAGCTGTCGAAACATCCAGCTGACGCAGGTGGAGTGGAGCCAGTCCTCCCAAAGCTGGAGTGAACACATTCAGCAAGATCTTAACACAGCTGGTGACTTGGAACCACTTTGGGCCTTGGGGACATTGGGTCCTTTAGTGGGTGCCAGCAAACACTTGACGAAGCTTTCAGTCCAGGCGGCTGTGAGTCTCAGCGCGGATACCACACTCTCTCCTCTCTCTCTGATACCTCAAGGGGCCTGGCATCAGCAGTCCTGGGGCAGACAGCTCCCTCTTTCCAGTTGACTGATGAGAAACCAAAGCGTAAGGATTTTAAGCACTTTGTATACACTTACAGAACACAGAGGTGGAGGCACCAGGTTTTTATAAAGCGGAAATAACTATTTCAGGGGACCTTGACATAGCTTCCCCTATTCTTACGAGGGAAACAAAGCATTTTTCTATATTGCATGCCTGAAAAAAAATTCCTCCAACTCTCAAAAAGCAAATGAGTGTTTGCTTTCCCTGGTTGAGTTTTCTCTTTGTGTGAGCAGCTGTGGCAATAAGAGGTGCCTGGGGGTCAGGCCTAACGTGCAGGCATCTTCCTCCCGCCAAAAGGAGGTATTCTGAGAGTGGGTGACCATCTCGGAGTCAAAGGCCATGCAACAGCACTCATTTCCCCCTCTCCTCGGGGGTGGGGTCCTCCACTCAGCCTGCCCTGAGGAGCCTCAGGGGACCCAGGGACACTTGCTGGCTTTCCTCTCTTCTTGAGCTGTTCCTGGAAAGAGAGGA